TTCCTTTTTTGATTGTAAGCCGCCCTGAGTCCCCTCAGGGAAAAGGGCGGCCTAAAAATAAACTACAAACAAACAAAACAAACAGGCCAAAGATCCTAAAAGGAATATGACTGCAGGCCTGAAATTTTGCTCTGCTTGTCTGGCAAGAAGAATAAAAACTGAATAAGTCACCAACAACATTTTGTTATTGACATATATATTGGCATTTTTGCATATGTATTTTGAGTATGAAGTAATTAAGAATAAAGAATGTTTACATGCACCTTCTGGGACAAATGGACACTTCCCTTTGCTTTGTTTTTTTTCTCTGTTAATGTTTCAGAAATCAGCTGTCCGAAGGAAATGTGCTGCCTGCAAGATTGTGGTCCACAACGCCTGCATGGAGCAACTGGAAAAGGTAGGATGATGCCACCTGCTGGCCTAGATGTGGCAAGGAACAGACTTCAACAAAATCATTTGTTCTAGAAATCGAAACAACATCTAAAGTGAGATTTAGGTTAGAGTTGCAACCATTCTATATGCCCAGTTTCCACCCCCTCATTTACGACAGTCGCCATGGCTGTAACCTGTATTCAGTTTTACACAAAGAATCTAGTAGCACCTTTTCTGACTCACACATTTTATTAAAAGCCATAAACGCACTTCTGTCAGATGCAAAAATGGGGGCAGGGGGTGGGTGGGAGGAGAGAGAGAAAAAAAGCGGAGAAGATGGTTGCTTATGCGGAGGCAGGCTATATGTGAGACAAATTTCGAGAGCCTTATCTATTAGTAATTATAATGTGTTAAAAAATCCATTTTTCTATCCGCCCATGCATTTGATGAAGTGGGCAATAGCTCATAAAATCTTATGCTTTTTAAAAACAAAACATATCAGTTGAAAAGGGTGCTACCAGACCGCTCATATTTTTTTGACATAATAAACTAGAGTTCCCCAATCTTTTCGGCTTCGAGGATCAGTGGTAAGAGGGGATGATTCTCCCTGAATGGCCGGCAAACGCACATGTGCACATGGCCTGGAAATGGCCTGAAAAAAGACCTGAAAATGTTCCAAAAACAGTCCAAAAACTGACTGAAAAAGAGGCGGGGGCGGGGCCAGCCAGTGGTGGGATTAGCCCCAACTGGCTGAATCCTACCTCTGCCTTTGACACGAATGGCTAGGTGGCGGGGCTGGGTATGATGAGTGATGTCACCCACCCAGTCACATGACCAACTGGCCACGCCTACCCAGCGAGAGAACCAGTTATTAAGTTATTCAAGTCCACCACTGGCAGAGGGTATGTGTGCACATGCTTGCCTGCTGCTCGCTCAAGTGGGGATGCACGCACATGCTTGCTCCCTCTTCTGCTCCTTCTACTGCCCAGTTCCGAATAGCTAATGGCTAATGACTGTGGCTGGGCAGTTGGGGACCCCTGCAAAAGACTAATACAGTTCTTACCCTATTCATTTTTTATTGAATTCTTCTGGTTTTTTGTCAGTCTTTCAAGGTAGTTCAGACAAGATAGTCCATCCATCAGTGCCAACTCTAACAGTCAGTGTTCCAAATATCATCCAGAATTA